AATATGACAAAGGTAAAAGTTTAGATGAACAAAGAGATAAAGAGTTTACTAGTTTCTCCAATTCAAGACTATATTTTTGCCTATTCTGATTTTTCTCGAAGATATTAACAATTTATATACTGTTTTTATTCGCCCGAACATGCTGGTTCTTGAAGCCGCGGGGGCGTGATGATCAATTTCATTATTCGTCAGTAAAGAGGAGCCCAAGAATTGGCGGTGGGTAATATTTGCTAGCTGCCTTTCCTCTAGTCTTACGCTTTAAAATTTGGATTGGCTAGCGCAGATAACCTTCAATTAGCTTTTCGTGAAATTCAACAAACAAGATTAATAACATTTTATCCCCAAAAGTAAATTTCAGAATGTTTATGAACTTTTCAAGTTGGTTATTTATGTCGCTAGTGCCCTCTATTGATAGTTAAGTAAATAGAAACAATTCATACAATTTTAAAGTTTTGCGCTAAACAATCTGATATCCGAGTATTTCTTTCATCACCGATATCTTTAAGATAGATTAATTTAAATATTTAAAAAAAACATCTCACTGTTTCATTTCATTTGTCATTCTCAAGTAAGTTTAGGAAGGAGCATAAGAAACAAGTGTAACTGATTAACAGAATAAAATACCTAACAGTTTTAATTTCAAGAATAATGTGCTATAGTCATTGTATTATCATTATGACGAAAATAGTAAAGTATTTTGGTTCAGAATATCCAAATGCACTGAACAGGAATATTGTTTGTTTGTTTTTGAATTTCGCGCAAAGCTACACGAGGGCTATCACCACCCACCGTTAACTCTTGGGCTACTCTTTTACCAACGAATAGTGGGATTGACCCACACATTATAACGGCCCCACGGCTGAAAGGGCGAGCATGTTTGGTGAGACAGGGTTTCGAACCCGCGACCCTCAGATTGCGAGTCGAGCGCCTTATTCACCTGTCCATGCCGGGCTCGAATAGGGATATTGAATTGTATTAATGAGACCAAAGGAAAGGACACATTGTTTGACACTCCACTAATTTCGACTACGTCAGACTAACGTAAGATGAGCAACAAATATTCTGTTTTTGAAACTTTACATGTTTTTTTTTACAAAACTATTTCCTACAATTCATTTTGTGTCAGTTTACATAATGCTTTGTTGTTAAAAGAAAATCGTTTTTTAAGTATTCAATGAAGTAATTGAAAATTGCTTTTTTCTTAAGCCAAATGAAACCCATACACACAATGATATATTAGCAAAAATTCAAAATATACAAACACAAAATTCTTAGTATTTTAACAGAAATTAAAATGCAATATTTAACTATATGTATGTTATAAAAATTTTAAAAGAAATTTTATGTTGAATTGAATTCAAAATTTATCTAAAATATATTTGGAAACTTTCAAGAAAGCCTTAAAGGTATTTTGATTAATGTTATGCTGAGGAAAATATTCATAAGTTCTTCCTTGTCTCTATGTTTTAAAGCAGCATTCAGTTTTTAATGCATTTGTGAACAAATAACCATTCGAAGTGTTGCGCATAAATTAGGTAAATGATGAGATCTTTAACAAGTATGATTTGAAAATAACTAGATTATTAATCATAAACAGCAGTAACATGCTTTTTTAAAGAATTTGGAAGTAAAACAATTGAACATTATATCATTTAAAAATGATCTCTGTTTATGTTCATCAAGATAAGTTTCGTCAATAGAGTAAGTGCTAAAAGGGAAATAGAATCCAAATGGGTGTTATATTGTAGAAAAATTTGTTTGCTTGTTTGTTGAATTTCCTCCAGAGCCACTCGAGGGATATTTACGTTAGCCGTTTCTAAATTTTGAGTGATAGACTAAAGTGAAAGTAGCCACCAACTTTCAGGCAACTCTTCTTCTTCCAACGAATAGTGATATTGATCCACACAATATAACACCCACACATCGAATTGGTTTCGACTACACCATCAGCAGATTGTAAGTCGAGTGCCCTAACCACCAGGCCTTGCCTGTAGAAAAACGTAATTTATGTTGTTTAGTAGATATATGAATCTTCCAAAACCCCGTGTTATAACTGTATCCAAGGGGTAATTTGTGTTGTTTAGTGTATATATGAATCTCCCACAAACCTCTGTTATAAATGTATCCAAGAGATAATTTATTTAGTTTATTAGATATACGAATTTCCCAAACAAAACTTCGTATTATAAGTGTATCCAAGAAATAATTTGTCTTGTTTAGTAGATTAATGAATCTCGCACAATTCCGTGTTATAACTGTATTCCAGATGTAATTGCCCGCATAATAAATATTAAAAAATCCGATAATACAGAAAACTTAAGTTTATCTGAACTTTTTCGGTGTATATGTGCGTGTGTGTAAGGTTATGTACACATATTGATATCACATCTAAAAATTGCTAATTTCAGCCGAGTATCTAAAGGCTGATAGTCATTTTAATCTTCTTTTTCTTAACTGAGGAATAGTGAAGCAAGTCCATTGACGTCACAGAAAGCTCATATATCATCGTTGGTGTGCAACAATACAACGTAGTACCACTAATGTAAAATAAACTGAAAGAAAACTTCGTAATTACTTGTGTCGCGAATATAAATTTCACCAAAAATATTAGAAACACTTTACACTGAAGATATATCTTGGTAATGAACATGTTTCTGATTAAAATTGAAACTCGAAAAGAGAGCCTTGAACCACTGAACAGCTTCTTCTAGCTATGAATCAAAGAATGACACCTATACTAAAAGAATTAAAGTGTTGACTAATAAATATGATGTGGCAATCTCTTATTTGGCTATAAATCTTTTCATAGTGTAGCGGATCCGCTATACAAAAGTAAAAACTGCACACTTTCAAAGTGTCAGCTGATGGGACAACGGTAAGTCTACGGCCTAACAACGCTAAAATCCGGGGTTTGATTTTCCGAGGTGGACAAAAGAGATAGCCCATTGTGGCTTTGCTCTAAAAAACAAACACCCTTGTAAAAAAGGAGGTTTTATAGTCCCAGATGATACTAAATAAATAGTTTGTGATCATAAAATCGATTTGGATCGATACTCTTAGAATATAACTCATAACAAAAATCTTACAAAGTTCATTCGATAAAAACAAATAAAGAAACTAAAGACTTCCCATAAAAATCGGACCTAATGTGTTCAACTGTTTATTTTATACTTTTAAAGTTAAAAAAACTGTAATTCACTTAAAAGATATTAAAAATAAAATTGAAATGCGCTGCTATAAACTTGCCGTTTATATTAAAAAACAAGGAGCAATACAGTGAAACATATTAAATATGTTTTCTACTCTAGATACCGACAGAATATTTCTATTATGTAAAATTGGGTATATACCGTTATTTTAAAAATGCTTTAAGTTAGCTGTTTTTCATAAGATTTCCAAACTGGTTTCTGTTCCAACCAAACGCGTTAACCATTGCAATGATAATTTGTTTGTTTGTTAGATTTCACACAAAGCTACACGAGGGCTATCTGCTCTAGTCTTTCCTGATATAGACTAGGGAGACGGCAGCTAGACAACACCATCCATAGCCAGCTTTTGGGCTGCTCTAATCGAATAGTTGGATTCACCGTCACATTATAACGTCTTCATGGGTCAAAGGAGGGGCATATTAGTTGGTGGGATTCGAACCTGCGGGCCACAGATTACGAGCGGAGTGCCCTAAAAACCAGGCCATGCCAAGTTTAACAGAGATGAAGATATATTGATTAAAAAAAGAAAAAGTAGTCTTGGTAACCAGAATGTTTTTGGAAAGTAACAAATAATTTATAATTTTGCACATTATTTTAATTCTTACTATTTATATGGTTTCTCAAATAGTTACAAACATGCGAATGCCAACATCAACTTGACATACAAATCGTATCATCAATAAAGTGGACATTATTGGTTATAGGTTAATAAATTTTGGTGAAAATACCAAACAGAAATCGTAACTAAATGGCGCCATCTGTACAATATGTCCATCATTCATGTCAACGATGGCTTATATCGATTAAATATTAGAAATTCTATATATATATATATTTTAAATTCACAAAAGTTTTTTATTGGTTGTACACAGTAAAACTTTTATTTATTTTGTTCATAAAGTTTCACCTGGTTGTTATTTTTTAATTAATTTCCGTTAGTCTCAGTCCTTGTATCTCACTTAATGATGCTAGATAAACCTGGTGAAAGGTTATGAACAAAATAACCAAAACATTCACTATGTACAGCCGACAAAAAAAACAAACAAAAAAAAACAACTAAGTAATGGATTGCATTCTTGGAATGGTGTGTAAACAGTTGAACGAAGCTACCTTATCAACATGGCTACATGCTGTCGGAAATAATCTCTTAAATTCCTCAACATTGCACGCAAGCATTAGGACCATAACGTATTGATTGAACATGTTGCCGAACAAGACAGAGATAACATAGTTGGATCAACGCGTTAGGGCACTGTAGATAGGTGTCCAACAGATCTATAATGTATTGACTCAACGCGTTATCGGAATAGCCAACAAGACTGTTTTAATTCTTGCTGTTCTTCTGATTTTTAAATATATTTGACGTTTCACGTCAATACGATATGACCCTGTTGTCTACCATCTACATGGCCATAACGCGTTGATCAAAACCGTAGTCGGGTGTTCGGCAACGCGTTGAACCAATATCTGATGGCCCAGATGACTTGCCATAGGCGTTCCAAGATATACTTTAGATATTAAAGTAAACCTTTCGACAGCATCTAGTCATGATGAATATCCATATCTTCATTCACGTAATTTCCAGGATGCAGGCCATAGTCGATATGAATGGTGATCCTGTATAGATAAATAAATATGGATTTATAGGATAATTGAAGAAATGTTTTGATTTTTTTTTTTACCATGAAGTGGTTCCTTCAAAAACAAATATCAAAATCCAGTGAAAGTAAACACCCAATGAACATAAATTATTTGATATTTTACAACACTTGGTCTGGTTCGATTTCTTACTTGGGTAAAGAGGGGGCGAGACTCCTTGGTGGATGTATTTTTCATCAGTTGACTAATAAAAGTGGCACCTCAGAGTTTCCTTAATATTTGTTTGTTCAGATGTTCGGTAGCTCTCCATAATTCTCAATTCATAATGAGAATAAAGCTTGATGATTCTTAAGTTCGTCTATCTTTCACTAATATTTAATAATTTACAGTTTTTCTTTTCACCAAAAGATACATATAATTGAAATGTATATTTATTTGAAATATCTTCATCTATTCCAAGAATTCCGTCACAAAAAACATCTTTGTGGCTATCTAACAGAGTTACTGACGTCACAGTACTGGGATTGCACCTTTAACAGCTTGAATAACAGTTATGCATTGCACATTTTGAAACTAATACCTAAAATATGTAAGATACACAACGCAGAATTATGTGGCATATCACCAGAGTTAAAATATTATTTTCGTCATTCAACTTTTAAGAAATAATCCAAATCATTTGAATATATATTTCATATATTTATACACGTGTGTCGTTATTTTTTGTAGTTTTTATAGATACAGAAAAGAAATAGCCAATTTAGGGCTAATTGTGAGGTTTAACGATAAAAAACGTTAGGCAAGCTAATTCTTTTGGATTTTCTGAACAAAATTAAAACAACAAGTATTTTCATAAACCACCGAGATATATAAACACGAAATATTATATGCATTTAGTATCCCTTAATGTACACAGATTTTACAAATGGTATTTGGTTGTGTAGTATTTACATTTGGAAACAGTAAAAGGTGCTTTTTTTCTCACAGGATAGTTGCCACTGTTTGTTCTGTACTGCTGCTTGATCTTAGAGCAGGGCAACATCTATCATTCTTCAACAGAAGCATAAACGTTTCTCGAACCTTTGAATGATACAGCACACAAACGACGGGCAAAACAAGCCCGCTTAAAACCTCTAGTAGGTAGCCTGCAAGTATAAGCCCGGAATAAATCTTACTGACGATTTCGCAACTCTCGAGAATTGCAAGTATCCACGATGGAAGGACGAGGATAACAGAAAGTAAGCCTGACAGAACTATTGTTTTGATTTCTTTGTCTTCTTCTAAGATCCTGGATTTTTCACGCAGTAGACCACGCATGTAAATATCGTCGTCGTGAAAACAATACGCTTTTGATCGACGAATCAACTTTCCTAAACAGAATACCAAGACGAAGACAGGTGGAAATATCAACACGATCCACGTGTAGGCCATGTAGGAACAGCAATGAGCCGAAGACAGAAGGAGATCACAAACTCCATACTCTGAAATAAACAAAATATCACTATATACAAATCATAAGTAGATGTTTTAATACGCCTTAAAATGTAATTAATGTAGCAGGTTAGAACCTAGAGAATGCTACTTCACACCATAAAAATATTTTGCGATTACTGTCAAAGCTGTGAATGAAATGCTTCAGTGTAAGAGGAGAGACGTTATCTAATAATTATATACAAGAGGATAAACTCGTGATCTGCTTATATGACGGCTGAAAACAAAAATTTAAATAAATGTATATGGACGATATTGTATCCCCGATCTCTCGCATACGAAGCAGGTACTGTGCCATATAAATCAAAGCCCAAAGATTTTATAACATATGCAGCATTATTACGTGGAATACTATATATATATACATGAGAAGGGTATATATTTTAAATATTTAAATCATTTAAATAATACTGTTGTTGGACATAAATGAAACAAAACCTGCTAAGCAGAATATGGAATTGTTGTATGTAGATTTAAAGTAAAGAAATGTAAAAACGTGGAACGACTATAAACGAAATATATCTCTGTACACAACATTGATTAAGATCTTGAGATTTTTTCTTGATCAACTTCTTGATAAAGCAACATTATAAATTAGTTATAAAAATGAATTTTTAAAATTACAGTATCGAGGAGTGTAAAATTCAACTATCTCCGTTTGTAACTATTTCAATTATTTTCCCTTTTCCTTCCATAATGGTATCTACTCTTTCTTACTCTTTCTGCTAAAGTACTAGCAAAGCGTCGGGTCCATTAACACGAATAAGGCCTAATTGTTAAATTTTGTGACTAAATCGCATATATATATCATTTGAAACCTGTAATTATTTTCTTTCGCGCAATGTGTTTGTTGTTTGTTTTTGAATTTCGCGCAAAGCTACACGAGGGCTATCTGCGCTAGCCGTCCCTAATTTAGCAGTGTAAGACTAGAGGGAAGGAAGCTAGTCATCCCCCCCCCCAATCTTGGGCTACTCTTTTACCAACGAATAGTGGGATTGACCGCTACTTAATAACGCCCCCACGGCTGAAAGGGCGAGCATGTTTGGTGTGATAGGGATTCGAACTCGCGACCCTCAGATTGCGAGTCGAGTGCCTTAACCACCTGGCCATACCGGGCCGCCGCAATGTGTTAGCTGTGGAGCATCGAAAATCAGTAAAGTTATGACAGTGACTATTAAGGCTAATTGCCATAGATTATATAGCGGGAAGCTCGGGCTTAACATACGAAAGAAGTAAGTTTCTCACTACTGCGCCCTAAGGATGCCGCTATAGCGAGGGAATGGGGTAAATAGGTGTGTGTGATGTCATCAAAGATGACGAGGTAATAGTTCCAAGTCGCTAGGGCACGTTGCTAAGCTGGCATGACAATTAATTAATTCGTCGTAGAAAGGACGCTTAACACTAATTCATTTATAATTAATTCGTCCTTAAAAGGACGCTTAACATTAATTCATTAAATAAATTATAATTAATTCATCATAAAATAGGACGCTTAACGCTAATTCATCAGTTAATTAGATTTCCTGTCCTAAAAGAACTATATGTTACTCAACCAAGTGATTAAAGATTTTCAGTGATATGATAAAATGTGAAAAACAATATTTAACGTAATATGATCACAATTATATACATTTAATTAGACACACAATACATGACTATAGGCCCCCCAGTGGCACAGCGGTATGTTTGCGAACTTACAACGCTAGAATCCGGGTTTCGATACCCGTGGTAGGCAGAGCACAGATAGCCCATTGTGTAGCTTTGTGCTTAATTACAAACAAACCTGACTATAAGTTTAAATCGCCTTAAAAGGAGCGATATCATACAATGATTAAACTTATACATTTATTAATTGCCGAAGTTCTTGTTTCTGGCTTCTCTGTTTACATGATAGATCACTGAATATTAATTGCTGAAGTTCTTGTTTCTGGCTAGTCTCTTTATATGTTATATCACTGGGTATTAATTACTGAAGTTCTTGTTTCGGGCTCCTCTCTTTACATGTTATATCACTGGGTATTAATTGCTGAAATTCTTGTTTCTGGCTCCTCTCTATACATGTTATATCACTGGGTATTAATTGCTGACATTCTTGTTTCTGGTTCCTCTCTATACATGTTATATCACTGAATATTAATTGCTGAAGTTCTTGTTTCTGGCTCCTCTCTTTACATGTTATATCACTGAATATTAATTGCTGAAGTTCTTGTTTTTGGCTCCTCTCTTTACATGTTATATCACTGGGTATTAATTGCTGACATTCTTGTTTCTGGTTCCTCTCTATACATGTTATATCACTGAATATTAATTGCTGAAGTTCTTGTTTCTGGCTCCTCTCTTTACATGTTATATCACTGGGTATTAATTGCTGAAGTTCTTGTTTCTGGCTCCTCTCTATACATGTTATATCACTGGGTATTAATTGCTGAAGTTCTTGTTTCTGGTTCCTCTCTATACATGTTATATCACTGGGTATTAATTGCTGAAGTTCTTGTTCCTGGCTCCTCTCTTTACATGTTATATCACTGGGTATTAATTGCTGAAATTATTGTTTCTGGCTCCTCTCTTTACATGTTATATCACTGGGTATTAGTTGCTGAAGTTCTTGTTTCTGGCTCCTCTTTTTACATGTTATATCACTGGGTATTAGTTGCTGAAATTCTTGTTTCTGGCACCTCTGTTATGGCTCACAAAGTTTTTCTTCGTTTTTAGAGCACAGCTACACAATGGACTCTTCACGCTCTGTCCACCGCGGGGATTCGATCCCTAACTTTAGCGCTGTAAGTCCATCAACTTGCCACTGATCCACTTGCAGAAAAGTTCATTAATTTGCATAATTCCTGTTTCTAGGTCTTATCGATGATATTTTGGGGGAAAATCTTTCTGTGTTCACAATTTTTCTACAGGATGTGAATTTTTTTGACATCCACGAATGATATTCAAACAGCGGATTGATAACTTTACATTAGCATTGCTAACAACAAGTTGAGAAAATTGTTGCATGTTGTTTGATGTAATAATATGCTGTGATACTCTCAGTTACATTGAATTGCCGTTCAGATAAGACTAACTATATTTGACAAAAAAAAATGTAACACAGAATAAATCTGAATCTCTTAATTTGGCTGATTGAAAAAGACTATACACAATGTATACAAAGTGCGCGTAATCTTTATTAAAATCAAAGCAAGCAAAGAAGATAAATGCATTTTATGATTTACGGTACCTTCTGGTCACAGAACAATAGTATCGAATTCTCTATCTTGTTCTTAAGATGTTCTGTGATAGGCTGAAAAAGCACATCTATATTCAAAACACAACAGTACCATCTCTTCCAGGATGATATATCCTTGAGGCATAACAATATTCGCCAATGGCTAAAAGCATTGGAACCATCTACACTATACATTTTAAATGGGTAAACTACTTTGGTATTTCCCACGAGAATATCGTCCCACCAAAGAAGAATGAACCATGACAGTGTGTAACAAGAGCCACACCAACTTAGCTACTTTCACAACCAACTCTCTACTATTAAATTTATATGCACACTGAAACTCGCTCATATGTGAAACATTTTGAAAATTCTTGGTGAACTGGAAATGCTTACCTGTTTAAACTAGAAAACGAAAATAAACCTGTATACTATAGTATTACATCCTGTGTTGTTTAAACTGAAAAAAGAAAATTAGACCTTCATACTACAGTGCTACTTCCTATGCTGTCTAAACTAGAAAAGGAAAAAAATAACCTGCATGATAAAGTACTACATTCTATGCTGTCTCAGATACAAAAGGAAAAACCCTGCATACTACAGTGCAACATCCTATATTGTTTAAATTAGAAAAAGGAAAATAAACTTACATACTACAGTGCAACATCACATATTGTGTAAACTAGAAAAGGAAAAGAAACCTACGCACTACAGTGCAACATCCTACATTGTCTAAACTAGAAAAAGGAAAAGAAACCTGCACACTACAGTGCAACATCTCATATTGTATAAACTAGAAAAGGAAAAGAAACCTGCATACTACAGTGCAACATCTCATACTGTCTAAACTAGAAAAGAAAAGTGCAACATCCTATACTGTCTAAGATAAAAAAAGGAAAGGAAAATAAACTTACATATTACAGTGCAACATCCTATATTGTCTAAACTTGGAAAAGGAAAAGAAACTTACGTACTACAGTGCAACATCCTACATTATCTAAACTAGAAAAAGGAAAATAAAGTTACATACTACAGTGCAACATCCTATATTGTTTAAACTAGAAAAAGAAAAATAAACTTACATATTACAGTGCAACATCCTATATTGTCTAAACTTGGAAAAGGAAAAGAAACTTACGTACTACAGTGCAACATCCTACATTATCTAAACTAGAAAAAGGAAAAGAAACCTGCATACTACAGTGCAACATCTCATATTGTATAAACTAGAAAAGGAAAAGAAACCTATACTACTGTGCAACAGCCTATATTGTCTAAACTAGAAAAAGGAAAAGAAACCTTCATACTACAGTGCAACATCTCATACTGTCTAAACTAGAAAAGGAAAAGTGCAACATCCTATATTGCCCAAGCTAGAAAAGGAAAGGAAAATAAACCTGCATACTACAGTGTAACATTCTATACTGTCTAAACTAGAAAAAGGAAAAGAAACCTGCACACTACAGTGCAACATCCTATGGAAATTTTCAGAGTTTTGGTGAACAACTGAAGAGACATATACCCCTATGTTTTCCTTTTTAATAATGGGTAGTTTTTAGATTAGTATGAGACAAAGGCTTCCATACAGGTTGGTTTTCTGGTTGCAGATTATAGACTTTAATATCAGTTCTAACAAAAATTGTTTCTATTTTCTGTTATATTGTATATGCGTTTGTGTTCTTTTTTATATAACTTGTGTGGTTAGTTCATTAAAACTAACAAATGCTATATGTATTGTAAGACACATTTCACCTTACGAATATTTTATACTCGAATAGAAATCACATTATAACATCATTTTACCAGTGTCTCTTTAGCGGCAATTAACCACCCATATAGAATGCTACGTTTAGTAAATCAAATGATACAGTTAGAAGTTTTACTTAAATAACTCCAAAATAAAACATATTTTGATAATTCATTGAAAGGGAAAGTATAATTAAACAGAATAAATTTGTATACATTTCCGAACTTCACACCCACCTTACCTGGAACATATCCGTACTGACCCCAGCCATAGAGGGGGGATGATACTTGGGCTGAGATTAGAAGAAAGGACCCCGGAATCATTACCTTGACACTTAGTGGTGAAAATGTTATAACATGGTCGTGAGGCATCAGGTGTTTTGTATATCTGAGAAGAATCAAAATATTGTTAGGCCTAGAAACAGATCATAAAGTATCAGAAATCAGAAGCTAAATTTAGCAAGCATGTGAAATGATTTACTGTTCGAAATCAAGCTTTTTCTCTTTTCCGAAAATACCTTGAACACTACTCGTAATAATACATACTTCAAATTTATGTACACGTGTGTGGTGGTGGGGTTTGGTAATATGTTGCTATAGTTTTCGTCCACTGAAATGGGGTTAGATGAACTTAGTGGATGACGTGCCTGCTCTGTGAATCCAAGTGTTCATGATTCGCGGCCCGTTGCACTATTATTATCATATTCCACTATTTGGTCATATAAGAGTAGCTTAAGAATTTCGGAGTGAGTGCTATTGATCAGCCACCTTCTTTCTAGTCTATTAGTTCAAAATTAGGGACAGCTACGCGCAAAATAGCTCTTTGAGTCCGTGAAAATAACAACAACAACAACAATAATTTCAAATATCGACTTTTTATTCATAATTTTTTGAAATAGCCGTGAGTACTCAATGAAAAATTTTCTGCTCGACATATACATCATATTAATAATGAGACGGCAAACATCGTGAGATCTTGAATTCGTTAAGCACGAATGGTATTTATTTATCTTGGGCATTAATATTGAAATTAAATTTTTAACAGGGTTTAACTGTATGCGTGATCTTATAGAGGGACTACAAAATTAATGTGGAATTCACCTTTTAAAGCTAAAATCTCTACAGTTCATCATATTTAATATCAGTTTATAGAATATTCCCAATATCAACAATATAACGTTGTTTAAAAAAAAGGTTTGAGTAAAATATTATAATCTAACTCAAGTGTTGACATTTTTATCTGCTATAGCGCAAGTTTTGACATTTCTATACCTGTTATAGCAAAAGTCTTGACATTGCTATATCTGTTATAGCAAAAGTCTCGACATTGCTGTATGTGTTATAGCAAAAGTCTTGATATTTTCATCTGTTATAGCAAAAGTCTTGACATTGCTATATCTGTTATAGCAAAAGTCTCGACATTGCTGTATCTGTTACAGCAAAAGTCTTGATATTTTCATCTATTATAGCATATGTTTCATTAGTAGTTCTTCTGTTGAAGACCTGCGTTACGAGCTTAATACACCGTCTTTGAAAAAGTTCAAAACAAGTTTGGATGAAGCCTATTTAAACCTTTTAAGTGTGTATTCTGTCTATTATATAACCAAATAAATAGCAAATTAAGAATTATTATCCTCCTCTTCTCCACAATATAACCGAAAAACAACAATGTTTTAACCAAATATTATGAATTTATTACAAGTTGCAGCTTTTACAGTAAGGAAAAATATTTTAAAAACAGATACCACGTTTTGATCACTGGTGAAATCGTTAAGTACACAGGTTTTAACGGTAAAGAAGGTTTAAGTATTTAAATCAACATTCATCTAATAATGTATTTAAATTCTGGAATTGATAGTGGTTACCTGTGCATAACTTATTTACTGTAAAATCTGTAAGTTGTATTAAAGTAGTACTTATAATCTTTAAGTAAACTCGAAATGAAACTATTAAATATTATTATTTTTAGAAAGAGTTGGCAGATTTGTTTGTTTGTTGTTAAGCGCAAGTCTACACGATGGGCTGTATCTGCTGTGCCTATGGCGAGTATCGAAACCCAATTTTTAGCAGTACAAGCCTTCAACCTTACATAATATCTTAAATACTTCTACTATTATTCGAATTCGGAAACAAATAAATATCTAAAGAAAAAAATCTAAGATAACCTGCACACTTAACCATAATGTTTAAAATGTCACTTAACTTATAAATCAACTTTTAAATGAAATTTTAACATTATACATAAAGTATGATTCTTCTAGACCAACACTTAACCAAGTTATATATCAGAGCTCTATTTGCATTATCGTTCTTCACGATACCTGGAGTAGATTACTGTTGTGTGTAATTTCCCTCGACTTGAAGCATATTAACATCGTCAATCTTCCTTCTCGTGATTAAAGACGCCCACAAATACTCAACGAGAAACTGTTCTTAAACGGAAAGATCTTGATTACGGCAAAGTATTAATGCCAGTTTGAAGATTCAGTATAACGAGCGAATTAGTTTTTCTTTATATATAAATATATCATATCATAATTAGATGGAAATATTAATTAACTAAACTGCGCAAGATGTTGTTCACTGCTAATAGTTCTAGAATGCTCCAGCTTGATATAACACCGTTAGTCAGCCCACAAATAAACATACCAGCATGTATGTTTGTCACTAAGCACAAAGATACACAATAGGCTACCTGTGCTGTTCCCATTACGAGTATCGAAAACCGATTTTTAGCGTTATAAGCCCTCACACTTACCATTAAGCCACCTGCATGGGGGAAAGAGCTTCTGAATTAAATAAAAGAACGTGGAAACAGAAACCTAGAAATAATGGAATTATTTAAACACTTTATAAATCAAAACGTAAAAGTGAGGTTGCATTGTCCGTTGATGAGAATACCTATACAGAAGGTAAAAACGTTTCGATGATATAATGAATTCTCACAACGAATCATGGGATAAGTATTGGGAGTTTTCATGAAACTAGTTACATTTTGAGAAGCGTACATGAAATGGGTCTTTCTGGATCACTAATATGAAAAGGAAAATTTAAAGCACGTGTTTGAAAAACATCATGTTCGCAGTTTTGGTGAAAAAACGATTTCTTGGAAACATTTATTTCTTAACATGAAAATCACTTTGTACACGGACTATTCAAAACAAATACTCGATATATTCACGGACAATTTTTTTCTTAGTTTATTAAAAATACTTCATTAAAAAAATATGATTTTTTTGTATGTGAAAGACTTGTAATGTTTACTAAAAGACTGCCACATCTATTGAAGATAGACACACTATATCAAAATGTTAGTAGTATCAAATCTACAAGGAATTTGAACGAGTATAAACAGAAGACAGATCATTGTTTTTTTTTTTGGTAGGATATTAAATTATATATATATATATACACACACACACACACACACATAATACAAGCAAAACGTACGGAATACAAAACATGGGGATAAGTAGTGGATTAATATGGGTCCATCTCGACCATTAGACTTATTTTTCTTTCTCTTCAGCATAAAACTGGTTTAATTTTAGAGGAAAGTTTATCGTAATAGCTCATTATCCATAGGTTTTCCCTCATACTTCATATATTCAAAAGTATAGTCTCTAGAGAACTACCGAGTAGGTAAAAGTGTATTATCAAAGATTATCTGCGTTCTTTTCGAACGGGTATTCTTCTCATGAAACTATACACCTGGAAAAAAATTAAGCACCCCCGTGTTTTTTTCAAGTGATTCAGAT